ATATATATATATATTACAATTAACAAATATTGATAAATTATTTTTTTTTCATCATTTTTAGATTCTTACTTAGATATTTTTTTTTTGGGGGGGGAGGATGCGAATAGATTTAATAAAGAATAATTCAAAACTTATGACAATGCCTAAAATTTTGCAACATTTATTTAAACACATAAAAAAATAGAAATTAAAGGTCAATTAACTTTTTACTTTTTTTCGGAACGACATGTTCTCTAAATTCTGTTGTTGCCCAGGTGCTTCACATTCAGCTTCCTTGTGAATTTGATCAGTGGTTTTAGGATTGTTTTCGTCTCTTCTAGGAATCCATTCATTCTAAAAGACAAAAACAAATTTAGATACTCTATTTTAAACTAAAACAAAACTTATAGTATAGTAATTTGTTAGGGCATAATATTTAATGACTTACCTTTTTTAAATCTATAACATCCTGCAACATGAACCTGACCCTAGAACCAGTTAAACTTTTGTCTACTATCTCTTGCATTTGTGTGAAATAACCTTCCATCTGAAAAAGAGAGATTGCCAAAATATGGGTTTAAAATAAGAGAAAATAAAGTATTTTGACAAAATATACTAAAATATAGTTAAATACAATAAATATTACATCAATAACAGATTATGAAAATTAAACATACAAATTTTTGTAATTCATTTTGATAAAAATTTAAGCAAACAATTTCATCTCATTGTTGGTAATTTAACTTAATAGGATAAATTTTGGAATTGTAATGTGTAAAATTGTTTGCACCATATTAAATATTGTAATATAGGATAGCAAAATCCAAAATATAAATAATTACTGTTTTAAGAAGATCATCAGAAAGATAAATAATAATTGTTAAAGTATTCAAATGCATATTTGGTTGAATAAGATAATAAATAATTCAAACTGAAATATTTTACAATTAAGATAAAATAAGCATCTTTTAAGAACCAAATCATCGACGCTGCACTTTACAAACACCTTATTAAAAAAGTCACTTGAGTGTTTGAAAATAATAAAAAATAAGCACCTTTAACACTTTTTAAAAATGCAACACCCAGATATCTCTAATAACGTCATCTTTCAACTGTTTCGATTTTCAAATAAGATAATTTAATTCAAGCTAGCAATATAGTGAAGTACAATTTACATTATCAATAATTTTTTATGAATAATATTTCACAGAAAGATTTTTCATTTTGGAAGGGGAAAATTTGCTTCTTTTCTGCGTATTTTTTTAATTTTTTTTTTCCTGCAGTATTTTCTTTCAAAAATGTCATTCTTGCGCATCAGAGAGGAAAGAAATAATCATGATTTTTCTATTCTCATTCAAAATTTTAAAAAAAATCGTTAATGATTGGCTTTAGCTAGAATTTCAAATTAATAAAATAAAATAAAATATTCGGAAATCGCGAAAGTTTAAAAGATAGTTCACTCTAGAAATGTTCTTTCTTTCATTTTTTTTCCTTTTTTCGTGTGATTCGTGATCTTTATTTTGGGAGTTGCTGCACGCATTTTACGATTTTTAATTTATGTAAAAATTTTAATTTATTTACGAATTTTAATTTGTGTAATATTTACAAAATTCGGAAGAAGAAATAATTAGTGCATTTTTCCGTCAATAAATGCGAGAATATGGCCTATAATATTAAAATTAACAAAAATATTACTTTTACATTTAAAAATTTTTATACATTTTTATTCTATATTTCCTTTTGTAAACACAACGTTTCTGCCACTTTAAATTAGTAATTGTTATAATTGAAAATATCTTAAAGCAATATTATATATATTAGTACTCGGCAAGTTTGTCGCAGGGAGCCCAAAAAAATTTTGCCACTGGGCTCACAAATAATGAAATGAGCAAAAAAAAATTTGCCACAGGGCTCACAAATAATGAAATCAACAAAAAATTTAAGACACAGGGCTCACAAATAATGAAATTAAAAAAAATCTGCCACAAGGCTCACGTATAATGAAATAAAAAAAATTAAGACACATTGCAAATTAATACTTAAGCAAATCATAACAAAAATTTTGCTAAAAACTGAAAATCGCTACTAATTATTAGAAACCCTCCAAATTGGATCAGGCAATCTTAACTGCATTTTATTCATCTCATTCTGGCTTACTCGCAAATTATTTGACATATATCAGCAAAGTATTTCATTTTTTCCTCTCTTAAATTTAAATTAGATAACACCAATTTATACGCTTTTTTGACAAGGATTTCTGAATAATCTGTAAAAAGATTTATTGTTCTATGAATCTGAATATATATGTTTAATAAGCTTTTACAAAAACACAGACAAAAATTTACTTGATTTGCAGATAAGCTGTCTTTTTAAACTTATGTTATTTACAAGAATACTTTTCCTCACATTTTATTACAAGTAAAAACACTGATCAAAATGAAAACAAAGAACACTTACACTTTCTTTTGAACCTTCAACATTTGGATCATCTAATTCTTTACCAATCGTTTTCAGCAATTTACACAAGCACTCAAGTGATTCTTCATCTCCTCGAGAAATGAGCATCTTTATACATTCATACATGATTGGTTAGTTAAAATTCCATTAATTTTATTTCTCCAATGTATCTAAAAATATACTTTAAATTTGTTCTATTGATTGTTATTAAAATTGTAATATACTTTAAATTTATATAAAATTGAAAATATTAACAGCCAATATTTAGAACAAGGACTTTCGTTCTTATTAGATATTTATTGAAAATCGATATATTGATAAACAAACGAAACCTCAAAACTGATAAGAATGCTAGATATGATAAACTATATTGATAAAAATTAAAACAGACGTGCCTGATTAATATTCCGATTGTTGTCACGTAACTTTAAATTAAAATAAGTCATCGTTATATTTCCTTGTAAAATCATCAATTCTTCATAGCTACAATGCATACAAATATAAATCAGTGAGGTTAATTCATTAAACAATTGCGGGTGAAAAAGAACTTAATTAGAAGGACTTTTTAACAATAAATAGCTGAACATTTATAAATTATTTTTAGGACATGGTTGATTCTCATGTGAAATGCTCTCAGTAAACAGATTCTTATAAAAATTCAGATATCAGACTAAGATAAGCTTCAGGAACCGTTCCTTTGAGTCGGGCCATCCTTCTACGTACACGCACTGGCCAATGAATTGGAAACCTCAGATTAATAATTTTATGATCTTATATGGGGACCATGGAGTTGGGGGGGGGATCTCCGTCCCTCACGCTTTAAAAATGAAGGGAAACAACTCCATCTTAGATTTCAACTTTTCAATCCAAACCTGTATAATTTAATTGCTGACCGATTGGAAAATGTCTGGTTTCAAATGTCAGAGCGGGGGAAAAAAGAATGAGAGTAAGGAAGAAATCGAGGAAAAAGATCTCTCATTACAGATGAGTTCAATCTTGCTTTCGAAGGTCCGAACCCACCAGAGTCAAAAGAATTTTAATCCAAGCCCATCCGAGCATGAGATACATAGAATTACTTAAGAGTTCAAAATATACATCAGATACAAGGCCAAATTGTCATTTAATGTCTGAACAAGAAAATCGGTCATTAAAACCTTTATTTTAACCATTAGCCTGTAAAACAAAAAGTGAAGAGAAACGACTGGCTCCAAGATGACTCAAACGAAAATTAAAAAAAAAGGAAAATCAGCATCTTAAGCTAAATAAAAATCATTTCTAAATTGACATTAAGCTTTAGCCTGACTAACTTAAAGCACCGAACAGAAGTAACGAGAACTCTGTCATTTTTTTTATACCTTATAAATTTTACTTTCTTTTCTATTCAAGAACTGTAGTGAAAAAAGTTTATGAAAATATTATCACGAGTCCGAGCCCACTCGAGAACATTTTCTTTTCTTTTCGCAAGGGATTCAGAATCCACGGGGGACTTAAGTTGGGTCTATCTCATCTCTATATTTCTCATATACTAATTTTTGGCCAATAGAATGATAATTGCGAGAGTGCACAAACGAACACCCTTGATTCAAGCTGCTTTTTAAGGCAACACCTACTTTCGATTTTTTACTAAAGGTAATTAAACATATATAGTATGAGATTTAATTACCATCATTATATGGTATTTATAAGTATTATATTTGTTTTTATTAACGTATTTCACACATGGGATTTAAGGATTTTATCTTTTAGCAATATAAAAACATAGGTTTTACATAATTCTATAGGGGAGATTTCCGTTTCTTGATCTGTGACGCCAACTAGATTCGCTATGATGCCAAATAGATTTTAAACTGGGAACTTAAAAAAAAAATAAATATTTGCCCGGAGTGGTTAAGAGATACCGTTCGAGTTGGTCCCTTTCTCTTTTTTTAAAAACTTTTTACATTATTAATTTTTTTTTTAAAGTTTGTCGTAGGCATTATTATCGTCCATTATTGTTGGAGGGCTTATTTAAAGCTCATGTCATTATTTAAACACCATAAAATAAAATTCTGGGCCTTATTGCATTTGTTCAAACAACTTTTTTTTTGAAATTTAGATTCAGTGAAGATTCTGATTTTAAAAAAAAGCAATCGATGATTTATTAAGGGAATTATTTTATTTATTTATTTATAATTTTTTATAACCGTTGTTGAACAGCCGACCCAATTTTAGGGTTTACGAATACTAATGTTCAACTACGTAGTTTTGTCATTTTGAACCCAATCCAGAAGACAAGGGAACTCCTGGATCAAGTAGTGGGAGAAATTTGCTTTTGTGGAGGACTTTCTGATGGAACTAACCCGCATTTGCGTTACATGGAGAGGAAGACCACGAGAACCTCCCACGGTTATCCTGACGACAAGGGGACTTTAACCCATGATCCGTCTGCCACTGAGGATATTTCATGTCAGCTCTGTGGTCGGTGCAAGTTGGATGCGGAATTCGTATCGACCAGACATTGCCGGGATTGAACCCGGTTCACCTCATTCGAAGGCGAATGCACTATCCCCTGAGCCATCACGGCTCAAGGAAATTGTTTATGCTTCAAATTTGGCGAGTGCTTATTATAAATGGAAAATGAATGTAAAAATTGATTCTTTAGTACAAGTAGTATATAAACACCGGCCCATTTTTTTTATTTTCAATTTCGAAATTTTTTATTCTATTATACAAATATTATTAAATTATATTTTGTTTCACTCCCTGAAAATATTTCTACAGATGCCTTTGGGTTTTGCTTCAAGTGCTTTGTATATAAAATTTCATATTCTAAGAGGGTAAAGTTACGTGAGAATTTTTACATTTAATTTCAGCGAAAAAAGAAGTGAAAAAATTTATGCAAGCAAGTAATTCTAATTCGAATATTTTTAAATTTTCTTTATTGTCTCAATTATTACAAAAAAAATGACAATTGAAAAATTCAAGGTATAATTTTATTTTAATATTTTTGGAATGACTTGTGTTACATTTTAAAGTGAAAAAAATATTAAGCTAAATTTTCAACTCAATTCAAATGTAAATTTAACTTTGCAATCATGTAGTGTGTTTTTTTTTTAAATTTACAATTTCAGTATATAAATAATGAGTAATAATTGTGAAATTACAAATGACTTAAGTTCCACATTTTATAAAATATGTTTTACAAACTAACAAATTAAATTGAGATTTTGATAAAAATAAGCTCATTTCCTAAAAAAATAGTAAGAATAAATTTTAAAAATAAAGACTTGTAAATTATTAATGGTATCAAATTTGTCAGAAAACCCATTGTATGAAGAAATGAAAGCAAATATCAATAAAAGATGTGATATAGTATTATTTCTTAAATAAATTTGAAATATTCAAAAAAAGGAAATCAGCTGAACATAAGATATACTTTGGAGGAAGAGGGAGGAAAATGGATGGTACCAGAGTTTGCTAAAATAATCTTATTTAGTATTTCTGTATTGCTAAGTAAATAATGCATGGAATGACATTATAAAACTATTGTTCTATGTTTTACTGCTTCACAGCAATAAAGAAAATTAAGTAAAATTATATCACCGAATTATTCTACTATTATCCAAATCTTCCTCTTACTTACTCCAAAAATAAAAAGCAACGTAAGGAAATATCAGGAAATACAAAATCTAACATTATATAGCATCAAAACTAATGCAAAATAATATTACGGCGAACGCTAGATAATATTAGTTTGCAGCAGCCACGTAGGTATGGGGGGGGAGTCAAACTCCCCCCTACCATTGTACAAGGCAATCTTTTTTTTTACCTCTATATATACCATTGATAATTTTTTCCTTAATTTTAGAACAATGTTCTAAATATTTTCCATCCCATGTCTTCCCATGGCATTTCAATTTGAGGCTTTTATTAATCCTCAACATTTTCGTAGTTTTCCTTTGAGTGCAACGCAAAATTTGATAATTTAAATTTTAATTTAATCTCGGTTAAAATAAATTATCTTTATAACTTTCGTAGATATTGCTTTACACCGATACTTAAATTGCAAGTTACTTTGATTTTTTGGGTTGAGTTAAGGAATTACAAAAAATATGAAGAGCATCTTCTTATATTCACAAAGATGACCGGCTGTCTGTCAAAGACGCTAAAAAATTGTTCATTATACATAAAAAAAAATTCATTGCGATTATTAAGCATTTAGCTGGAATTCTTTAAACGTCAAGCAATCTGAAAGCTATTTTCGTGGCTTCCCTGTAACGCAAAATATTATTGTTTTCTTTTTAAAAAAAACATTCGTATAGACAGCAATGCTTAAATATTTACATAAATGACTAGTTGTTTTATCTTTCTTCCTTGTTAAAACAAAACGAAGAGCATTTTACTGATTGCAATTCATTGGCAGGATAGACGTAGTCATTGGCGGATATTAAGAAACGATTTGGCTGATTTCGATATATATATATATACCGTTAGAAAACATTGTGTTCAAATTTGATACAGCATTTAAATGGTAAGTTGAACCATATTGTAATCAGAGTCTGACTAAGGCACGGGGCAGTTAGCGAGGGCCCCCAGATCAGAGGGGACCTCCAAATTGAATAGAAAGTTTATTTTGCGCTTTCTTCTTTAAGGAAAGATTATTCGAACGCTCATAATATACGATACATATCACGTGATAATTTTTTTTTATATACTGAATTTCTTTGCAATTTAATACCGTTCAGATGATAGTAATTAACAAAAACGATAAGCAAAATCAAATCTAGTTGCTAAAAATATATAGATTAGAATTTCTGGCTTATCGCCTTTAGACTGATCCAGGGACGGATTAAACTCAAGCGGGACCCCAGGCCATTCAAATTTTTGGGGCCCATAGATTAAATTTTTTTCTCGTTTATTTTTTATTTATTCAAATATAAAAGTATTTATACATCTTTTCATTTAAGAAACCAAATTTAAAATGAAAAATAAATAATAATAAATTGAATTTCATTTTATTTCGATAAATTAGAACTAAAAAAATTATAGTATTTCATTAATATATATTTTAAATTGATTTTTTTCAAAAAATCATTGTTTTTCTTAATTTTTTAAAATTTATTTTCAAAAATTTTTAAAGTTGGCCCCTAATCATTGGGGGTCCCAGGCATGGCCTAATCTGGCCTAATGAATAATCCGGCCCAGGGATCTAGGAAGCGCTTCTAGTGCTGTGTAATTTTCGGGGGGGGGGCAATATTAAATCATAATACTTGTGTCTTTCTAATGCAAGGAAGCATGCTTACCAAATGAAAATTATTAAACTTTTCAATC